GGCTGTTCGCTCCCCCCCCCGCAGCATGATTACATTTATTTGCACCGGGCCCATTAGGCATCAATCATTTCCTCCATCTCCCCACGACCAATCCGGAGCCCTTTAGCTGCCGGGAGCTTCATTCATCTTGTGGCTCGGGAGTTCTTCCCCTTGAAATCTTGGAGGAACAGGACCTGGCTTTTAATATAATTAGCTCTCTCTTCTCTCCCCCTTCCTCCCTCCCTCGCAAACACCCCCCGCCCTCGGAGGGGGAGATGAGACAATAGACATCAAGCCTCCCAAAGATGCTTTGTTAGTAACGCTGTGGTGGTGGAAAGGAGGGACGGTGGGTGCTGGCCCCGCTGCCCATTCCCAACTTGTGACTGTGTGTGTCTGTGTTTGTGTGTATTTCCAAGAGCACTTATTTCGTTTCCAAAGTTGCTGATCAGGAAAGCAAGGCCAGTATATATCAAGGGATCTAACGAGGGCAATACCAGTTAGGACCCATAATGAGTGTTATGGGCGGGAGGGGATTTCCTGAAGCTCTTTCATGTTTGCTGCGGCTGTCCAACACACATCCGCAGGGCTTCATCAGTTGGCAAGTGTCCAATGGCCCAGCACCAGGCGGGACAGCCTGTTTAGCATCTGAAAGAGCTTTAGAAATTTAACATGATTTGATTTAAGGGCTTCAATAGCCGAAACAATGTTCTCTCACAGGCAGGAAGTCCCATGGGCCTTAAGGAGCTGATTCACAAGAGGGCCTCTCTTTTCACTCTTTGCAAAGGGTCACATGATCCATCACTAAATACAAGGCAAAAGCTCGGAGTCGTTCCTCCATGATTTATGGCAGAACAATCCAATGTTCTCGGCCCGTTGCTTCGGCGGTGCGACAGAACCCTTTCGATTTGCCCTGTGTACGATCGGACGCGGCTCTGTTAATTAATTGCGTGGGGGAATACCTCATTTCCCATTCCCACCGGCTGCTCGGAAGAAATGCTTTGAAGTATCCCACGAGGAGGGGTTCATTTTCCGGGGATCTCCTCCACTGCTCCCCCAACTGTACACCCCACCCCACCCCGGCAACGGGTCTGCCTCTTTTACTCGCTGAATGGGGGGGGGAGGATTGGGGAGGGGGGGGCGAGGTCTCCAGTATCCGTCCCCTTCATCTCTCCTGGGATTCAGCAACCACGGGGCTGGCCCTCGTATTGTTTCTGGACGGAACCCCTCCACGAAGAAGTGGAGAGTGGAGGCTGAGTAGTTGAGATCAGGAACCTGGAATACAAAATATTTTGTATTTTTTAAAAAAGAGATCAGGAAGCTGGCGGAGGAACGGGAGCAAGCCGGCGGGGCGGGCGGGCAAAAATGCCCACCCTCGAAATAGCCAGCCCACAAATAGGAATCTGAACGTGTCGTGTAGAGTTGGCGTTTATCTGGGGACGGTTGCAGGATGTCCCCTTTCCCTTTTAACCAAACTCAGTCTTCTCACCCGATCTTTTCCTTTTCCTCTTTTCTGGAGCTGCCTTTGATCGGAAAGGAAGACTGTCAGGCCAGCACTTGCAACGGGGCAGGATAAACCGGCCACCCCCCTCCTCAAATAGATCCACCCATTGTCTGCATCTGGCATGCTTTGGGTGTGTCCTTCCCCCGCTCTCTTCTGTTCATTTTTCTTTGTGTTTCCGGTGTGCCTTTCAGTCCATTCCAAGATATGTGGAAGAGCTGAGAGGAGTTTCTACCAGTGTCACTCACCCCCAGTGGGTTTCCCTGGTTGATCAGGGACCTGAACCCACATCTCCTGAGCCCTATTCCAGCAGTCCATCTACTACACTACAGTGACCAGGGCAGCTCCTTCACTGTTGTCTTGTGCTATTTTACCATCCTTAGACAAATATTTGAATCAGATGTGGGAAACCTTTGGCCCTCATGGTATTTTGGACATCTGCTCCCCAAGGCTCCAGCCAGGACTGACAATGCTAAAGGACTAGGGGAGTTGCTTCCTAAAACATCTGGAGGAACAAAAGTCAGATTTCAGC